GCCTCAACCTAGATCTGTGCGGTAGTCTTACGGTAATTAAAAAAAAAAAAAAAGAAAAAAAAAATTTCCTTAAATTTGTTTCATTTCACACAAATTAAGATTTCATAATTTCCTACATTTTCCGCCAAACATTAAAATGCTCAACAACTATTTACAGGGTATCTGCTGGCTGTGCCTCAACCTAGATCTGTGCGGTAGTCTTACGGTATTTTATGCTGCAAGCGCGCGCGTTTTGTTAGCGACTTTTTGCAGCGCCTTTTGCACTGGCATCGAAAGCAAGCGAAGCGCAGTCGACGCCGCCGCTGGCGTCGCAGTTGGCGTCGCCACTAACTGCATTTGCTTATGACTTTGGCTGTTCTCTTCATTTTACAGTTAATAAACGTTAACCGCAAGTGGTCCGATGGGGCGCTGGCCCCTTAACGGTGCCTAACTCACTCTATCCATGTGTGTGTGTGTGTGTGTGTGTTGCAAGTGTCGAGAGATTCATCAAGAGTACTGTAGAACGGGGGGCGTATCGACGCCCTAATGTGTTGTCACATTTGTTGTAAAATTGATTCGCTAATGATTTTAGCTGACATTCAAATTACGAAAAGCCAAAAGGGAAAACATATGAGAACATATGGAAACTGTATAGAATATTTCTTTCACACTCGCCACAAACACACACACACTCGCACTCTCTTTGAATTGGTATTTATTTTTAGAAAGTTAATCACATGCTAAACACTTCGCATGGCCCATTGGGACATAGGGAAAATGAAACGAATCTCGAATCTTGTGGCACGCACTAAGCGAAACAACTTCCAGGTAGTTAACTTAAGACCTTTTTTCGTCTTTCATTAATTGTCGTTCTCTCACTTTATGGGCGTGGCGCAGTTGTGCGTAAAAGAAAGAAGCTGAAGAAGTTAATTATATATATTACAGAGTTTTTATTTTTCCCATGTAGCTAATTAACTTATTAAGGCAAACGCCTATTAGGAATGCTTTCGCATTGGATTCAGATTGGATACATATATTCAAAAAATTGCCATTAAATAGCTTTTATAATTTTTTGCAATTTCAGAATTGATTCAAATTCATATTCAAATTTTTTATGTGCATATAAACATAACTCCAATTTAGTTCATTCTAGTTTTAATAATTTCGAACAAGAAAACACATGGTCCAATTGGATTATACACGTAGCCAATTGGACTAAGGCTAGATTAGATTTATATTGTGCTTTTAATTAGCCAACAATATTAATATCAAGTAAATCTTTAATTATTTATCATAAACAAATGCTCTATTTCCTTATAAACATAACTCTAATACAAATATTTTCAATACAAATAGTTCCAGTTCAAACCATATCCAATAAGAGATCTAGCTAAATGCACAACAATTGGGTTCCACAAGTATGCCAATTGGACGATATACACTAAACCAATTGGACTATCACTAGCGCTCACGCAAAATAGCATCCACACACACACACACACATCCAATTGCTCTGTTGATCTTACGATTTTCGCCATTCAAACTCAGCAATTGCCGCAAATTTTAATTGATAAAAATAAAAAGCTGAACGAAAATTGACTAAAACTCTGGCTAATCTCGGGCATCTGGTATCTGGCATCTGGCGCTTATTGTGCCTATAGAAAAAAATTATATCTCTCTTTGACTGAGTCACAGTTTCGACTTGATTTGTTGGGGAGATACCGCCGAAGAGCTGCAAACGGGTTAACTATAACGTGACTCAGTGAGACTCGGCGTTGCCCCACCCCCTCGCCGGCCGCCCATCACTGATCCGCTCCACTGCGCCGCACTGCACACACATATCAACAACAACAACAACAGCAAAACTAGTTGTCGAGCACCAAAACGGGAGGAACAAGAAAGCCAAAAAA